AATAAATAATAATTATTTATAAACTTTTTATTATTATGTTTGTAGCCTATTCAAGATAAGAATTAATACTAATAGTAGGTATAATAGCCTTACATTATAGCCAGGGCAAGTGAGTATAGTGATGTACATGTTCATAAAAATTTTATAATTTATCATAATTATTTCTTATCAAGTATATCCTTTGATATTATATAGTTATAAGTTATAGTATATTTAACCTAAATAGTTGTATTTAAACTGTATTACCATTTACACATTTTAATATTATACCATTAAACATAATAAAGGAAATCCAAAATACTAATAAATTTATCTCGGCAACAAATGTTCATTTTTAACTATATTATTTAAAAAAATGTTATTTTTACTTCAATTATAAATGTCAAAGGTATAAACGTTTTCCTACATTAATTGATTTTTCCATTTTGTTTGTAATTTATTTTTTGAGTTTTTAAACAATTTTACACTACCTACTTTATATGATTAGTTATTAGTTATTAAGCTATAAGGGAGATGCAAATAGAAACAACGGGGATAACGATAGGCCAACAGCGCATACAAGTACTTGGCTTTGCCGATGATCTAAATATCTTAGTAAACTCCTTATTAGATACGGAAAGAGCAGCGCAAGTGCTCGAACGAGCAGCCAGTAAAATAGGTCTAAAAATGAATATGGATAAAAAAAAAAATAATGGAACTACTAGGTGAGGAGAAGGACAACACTGATACGGGATCCCTAGTTTTCGAAAAGGTTAGTGAATTTCGGTACCTAGGTGCAGTATTGAGTAAAAACAATGATTGGGCTAGGGAAATAGGTGTAAGGATAATAAAAGCAGAAAGAGCAGCTTTCGCTCTGAATAAGTTCTTAAAGTCAAAAGTATTCTCCAAAAAACGAAAGCAAGAATGTACACAGCAATAATAAGACCCACACTCACATATGGGTGCGAGGCATGGACTACCACAAGCAAGACCGAAAGAAAACTAAGAACTTTTGAGAACAAAATATGGAGGGTAATATGTGGACCAGTGTATGATAATGAAAAAGGAACATAGAGGAGAAAATATAATAAAGAGCTGCAGGAAGAAATGGAAATGGCATCAGTAGTAAGCTTTATGAAGGGACAAAGGATTCAATGGCTGTACCACATGTGGCGGCGTAGCGAAGATGATATAAATAGAGTAATCCTGGAATGGAAGCCTACGGGAAAAAGACCTCGAGGACGACCAAGGAAAAGATGGTTAGATGGAGTGGAAGAGGACCTGTACAGAATGGGAGTCCAAGATTGGAAAGAGTTAGCCCAGGATAGAGACAAATGGAAGGATTTAATGATGGCGGTGAAAACTCTTAAAGAGTATTAGGGCCATATAAAGAAGAAGAAGAAGTTATGAGTTATTACAAATTACAATGTACCTAGTCTTAACACAAGACACGATCGACATTTTATATTTTATTGCACATAGATACAATTTGAACATAGACGAGTTGTCTAGTATACGATAGTCTAGCAGCCTGCTAATTTATATTTTCTAGGTACTTACTACATGTATATACTATGCTATTAATATAAAAATGGTAAAGGCCTTATCTGTTGATTAGGTAGGATTTTCATAACTAAACTCTAGCTGGGAGTTTGAGCAGCTTTATACGGTTGGAAAAACGTTTATCGAGAGAATCAAGTCCACCATGACGTAAAAAGTACAAGAAGCATGATAACGAAATAAGAAGAATTGTGGAAAATTAACATGTATTGTATACATTGATTTTATTTAAATGATTATATTATGTTTGTAAAGTACGTATGCCTACAGCTTACTAGGTACGGCTGTAGGTACCTACCATGACACATACGACTCGAGTCTTTTCCCACACATTTTCAAAACAATGGTAATATTATATAAGGTACTAAGATAGTGTAGGTACTCACACATTTGTACATACGGCTGGTTTCGTTTGTTACTTCGCCAAATATGTTTTTAAGTCATTGGTTTGAATTAAGAATCTTCTAATTTCATTGGACCTAAGACGAAGCGGACTATAATTAGTATAACAGTCACTGGCCAGGTGACTTTAGCTACCATCGCGGCGTAAACGGTTACTCTGACGTCTAAGCATCAACACGTGTCAGGAGAGTCTATTGACTCATGCGACGACGTTTCAGACGGACTAACCACCGAATTATCACCAAACAGAGACGGTACCGAGGGACTCTCACAGGGGCGGTATAATCGTGCTACCAAGATATACATACCACAACGGTGCACCGTGTAGTGTATTATCCTGGTGTACCTCTGTTTAACAAGGAGTACCTTGGCGCCCACAATGTTCACCTGGTGGTGCACCACACAATGTAAAACCTGGTTCCCCATATAGTTATGTACCCGGTATACAATGGTATACACGATTGCCTCGTACTTATGGTGGATAGTGATCAGATACCCTAATTATCGACTAGCGGCGATGGTACTGATCGACTCGCACATTGTGGCGGTATAATCGACCTAGGTTTACACCAAGACGGTGCACCGCCTAGTGTATCCTGGTTAAATCTATGTTTAACACGGTGTACCAATTGACGCCCGCATAGTGAACCTGGTGGTGCACCACGCAACGTATAACCTGGTTCGCCAAGTTATGTACTCGGCTTACAATGGTGTTCACGACTGCCTCGTTCCCAGTGGACAGCGGTCGGATACCGCTCAGTGGAAAGCCGGTCTGATCCGTCGTCGGATGGGTCATAGACTCTAAACTAAGGTTGATGGTTAACGCGGTCAGAATGCCAGGTTTCGTCGTTAAATTTTGTCCGCGATAATGGCCAAAGTGGCCGAACTGAATGTCTGGTTGTGATGATATTCAGCTTAGCGTTACTTGTTACGTAGCTATCTCTGCACGGCGCACATTATAGTTCAATGTCCGACTAGGTCTGACTGAAAGACAGAGAAGACGATACAGCTTTGGACCTTTGCTCACATTCGATATCTTTGAATATCTGTTTGATAGTAAATACGTAACCTATCTTAAATTCTGTACAATTAAAAAAATAGTGTGTGTGTTACCAGTACCCGAGTAGGAAGTGAAACTTCTTTTGAACTTTACACGTGAGTTAATATTAATTAATTTAAAAAATGAGAGGAAGTTATCCGGAATTATTTATTATTGATGCTTTTATTATTTTTTATTTTTATTCGACTCATCGATGGATAATTGTTTGTAGCATTTTTTTTTATCCAGGTAAAAGGTTTGTGAGTGAATAAATCAATTAATAACAATTAATTAAATATACTAGATGGTAACTGATATTGGTCTCTGAGTATAGATGCTATAATAATCGATCATTAATTAGTATGGGCCAAGATAGATGATCTGTTTTTTATTTTGCATCGTTAATATTATATTAATTATTCCGCAGCAAAAAAAAGTCACTTAACTAACGCGGTCAAGACCACCACTTACCTCGCAACGCTTGTACCTCTTAATTTTATTCAATTAATTATGGTATTTTTATCTAAACTATGGAAAAAATCTTTTGTTACTCCCATTTTAAAATCTGGTACTGAAAATCATGTTCGTAATTACAGACCAATAACTAAATTGTCTTTAATACCAAAAATATTTTAAACAATTATTACAAAGAAGTTATCTTTGTTACTTTCTAATTTAGTTAGTCCTTCTCAACATGGCTTTTTAGCGAAACACTCTATCTCTACTAACCTTTTAATATATCCGTCCTACCTTATAAAATCCTTTGAATTTGGCCACCAAGTTGATACTATCTATACTGATTTTCAAAAATCATTCACTTCTTTTATATAAGCTAAATGTGTTCGGTATTTCTGGATCGTTTTGGAAATGGATTGACTCATATTTGCACAATCGATCACATATTGTAAAAATATCCTTTCAAATTTCAAATGAGTATCAAGTATTATCTGGTGTACCACAGAGCTCTCACTTAGGACCTCTACTTTTTTTATTGTTTATAAATGCCCCTATTTTTTAGTAACGACGTAAAAGTTCTACTTTTTGCTGATGATGCTAAATTGTATAGCCAAATCAATTCAATTAATGATTCAATTAATTTGCAAAACAACATGGATACATTTTTGATTTGGACAAAAAAAAATTTGCTACCTTTGAACATAGAAAAATGTAAAATTGTCTATTTTACTCGTTGTAAAAGTCCTATTGTTTACAATTACTCATTGGATAATATAGTCTTAAATAAAGCTTATTCAATAAAAGATCTTGGTCTTCATTTTAGCTCAGATTTATCTTTTAAACTATACCCTGAATATAAAATGATTATATAAATAGGCTTCACAAATAGGCACACTCAGCAATTTAATAACACTACTACAACAAAAACAATTGGTTGCTACATTGTACGACCTCAAGGGCACCCACAGGGCTGGCTGAGAGGGGCCATGGCACATCCCCGATCTTTTTAAAAATGTTTTTAATTTTTATAATATTACAGTATATTTTTATAAATATTTTAGAAGTTTTGTAGAATTTCATTATTTTTATTATTTTAATAAAATAGATCGATAATTGATTAATCATAAGTGATTAGTGATAAAATTGTTCTGTGTGATAACATGTTACCGCGACTGTGGTCTAAATCATCTAAAATTCTAATGTCTGATTGACAGTAAACACTAATCAATTCAATTTATATTTTATTTGGCTTGTAAAGTGTGAATTATAATTTCAAATTTGTATTATTTATAACCTTAACGTATTAATATTAAGATGAATCCATCAAAAAGAAAAATTACATTTATGGATAAGTTTGTTTGTAAAATACCAAAAAATGATGACGACAGAAGTACAACTGATGATCAAATATCTACTCCAACATTAACAAGTTTGGACACAAAATGTGAAGTACCACCTTCTATACTACAGGTACCTACTCATAAGATTTTTTCCTAATAAATAATTATTAAGTATTTATATTTTATATTTATTATTTATGAATTTTTATTAGGATATTATTCAAATGCAAGCAAATAATAAACATGATATTGGTCATTTTCTTGGTAAGTCTGTTGACAATACATTAAAATATGAAATGCTTATTTCTCCATGGAACCCTTGTAGTGCTTATGATTTTAAAGCAGATATTAGTGTTGGTAAAAGACCTTTTTTGTTAGCTCAGCCATTTTTAAAGGAGCTTTTTGCAAATTGTGTGTTTTGTTTAAACCACCGATTGACAAAGGTGGAGTGCAAGGTGCATTCATAAAAACAGCGTTTATTAAGTACAAACATTTCCAAGCTCAGTCAAAGATACATTCAAAATGTTCTTGGCATATATTTTCAGTACAGAGTGCTAAAAATGTTATAGCTATTATGGATGGTAAAAAAATAGATGTACATCAAATATTAAATTCTTCAGTGAAAAATGTAATTGAATCAAACAATCGTAAACTGCATTCAATAATTTCTTCTATTATTTTCCTTGGTGTACATGGAATACCAATCAGAGGAAAAACTGATGACACAGCTGTATTTAATAATTTACTACATTTTAGGGTTGAAAATGGAGATGAAATTTTGAATGATCATTTTAAAAATAGTGCTAAAAATGCAAATTACATGTCTCATAGTATACAAAATGAACTTATAAGTATAATAGGTAATGTAATATGTTATATGATTTTAAAACGTGTCAAGGAAGCTGAATGTTATTCAATATTAGCAGATGAAACAATGGATATAGCGGGAACAATTATCAATATGTTTAAAATATGTGACTTATGAAAACAACCCAACAATTATAAAAGACGACTTTGTTGTGTTTATTTCATTGGAAAAATTGGACCAGAAAGTATATTAAACAAAATTATTTCTAGTTTACAAGAATGGGGTTTGGACCTAAATAAATTGGTAGGACAAGGATATGATGGTGCTAGTACAATAGCTGGACATGTCAGTGGTGTACAAAAAAGAATAAGAGACAAGTATAAGAAAGCGGTTTTTTGTCCATTGTGCTAGTCATAGAATAAACTTTATTTTAAACGAACTGAACTGAGTTCCATGTGTTCAGAATACAATCGGTATTATTAAAGAAACTATACACTTTTTTAAAGAAAGTTCATTGCGTCGAATAGTTGCTCCAAGTCTTACGAAGTTGTGTGTTACTAGGTGGTCGGAGTCACATAAGGCATTAAGAAAATATTATGAAAATTTCCTGTTGATAGTGGAAGCACTAGAGTATATCAAAGTAAATGGGAATAAAGGTACATCATTGAAAGCTACATGTCATTTAAATTCTGTTACCACATCTCAATTTATTGTGTGCCTTAGGATAATTGCTAAATACTCTGCAACTATAGAACCTATAATCAATTCTTTACAGGGAATAAATTGTGATTTATTTAGTGCAAATAAACATATTAAAGACCTTATTAAATATATCAGTGATGACAGAGCTAATAACAAAAAAATGTTTCTAATTTTAATGAAAGATATTAATATGTACTTAAATGAACTTGGTATTACACTAATGACTCCAAGAGTATCCTCAAAACAAACTTTAAGAAATAACCCCCCTTCGTCAGGTCCAGAAGACTACTACAGAAAATCTATTTATATACCATATAGCTGATCCCGTGCACTTCGTCGCCCGTTAAATGGATCAACTCAATACTACCTACTCAAACTTTGTTCAATTCATTAACGTGTATGGTGTTCAAAATTTATCTTATCTTTCCCGTTGCCCTGAATAAAAATTCTGAATCGCAGCAGTACATTATCAGGTAGGCAATCTACCTGCGGTAGATCGCGGACCCCGTGCTGTTTGTACGGAAGTGTATGATTTAACTCTAAAGTATCAAAGTTATACCAAGTTTATTTTGATGTAATACTGTGGATTAATATAATAAATTTAGTTGCTCGTAAAAAATCGCAACTCTTAAAAAAATTATGATTGTTGAACTCCTTTTGTGTGTAATTTTCTGCGGTAAGTGCAACTCTGCCACCCTGGTAAGCATTGTTCAATAATTCGATTTGATGCAAGCTTGTACCTGATCTGCCCGAATAACCAATGGCAACCAATAAATAAATGCTAATTTCTAATGTAGACTGTAACCAATGGCAACTATAAATAAATAAAAATAAAATTTCCAATTTCTATCGTGAATCTCAATGTCCCTGTTTCAGCACCTATTTAAAATGCGAATTTTGGCAAATCCTTTCTTAGCGCACGTCTATATTATAATAGCTATCTGTATGCCAAATTTCAGCCAGATCCGTCCAATGGTTTGAGCTGTGCGTTGATAGCAGTCAATCAGCTTACTGTTTTTTATATACAGATATGGTTGCCATGGTAATATGGACACACACACACACACACACACACACTGACATACATTCATTTTTATATATATAGATTGATATGAAATCTTGGTAACCTTAGTAACCATGGCAACCTTGGTAACCATGGTAACATGGACACACAGACACACAGACACACTGACACACTGACATACATTCATTTTTATATATATAGACTAGCTGATCCCGTGCACTTCGTCGCCCGTTAAATGGATCAACTCAATACTACCTACTCAAACTTTGTTCAATTCATTAACGTGTATGGTGTTCAAAATTTATCTTATCTTTCCCGTTGCCCTGAATAAAAATTCTGAATCGCAGCAGTACATTATCAGGTAGGCAATCTACCTGCGGTAGATCGCGGACCCCGTGCTGTTTGTACGGAAGTGTATGATTTAACTCTAAAGTATCAAAGTTATACCAAGTTTATTTTGATGTAATACTGTGGATTAATATAATAAATTTGGTTGCTCGTAAAAAATCGCAACTCTTAAAAAAATTATGATTGTTGAACTCCTTTTGGGTGTAATTTTCTGCGGTAAGTGCAACTCTGCCACCCTGGTAAGCATTGTTCAATAATTCGATTTGATGCAAGCTTGTACCTGATCTGCCCGAATAACCAATAGCAACCAATAAATAAATGCTAATTTCTAATGTAGACTGTAACCAATGGCAACTATAAATAAATAAAAATAAAATTTCCAATTTCTATCGTGAATCTCAATGTCCCTAGATATGGTTGCCATGGTAATATGGACACACACATACACACACACACACACTGACATACATTCATTTTTATATATATAGATTGATATGAAATCTTGGTAACCTTAGTAACCATGGCAACCTTGGTAACCATGGTAACATGGACACACAGACACACAGACACACTGACACACTGACATACATTCATTTTTATATATATAGATATGGTTGCCATGGTAATATGGACACACACACACACACACACACACACTGACATACATTCATTTTTATATATATAGATTGATATGAAATCTTGGTAACCTTAGTAACCATGGCAACCTTGGTAACCATGGTAACATGGACACACAGACACACAGACACACTGACATACATTCATTTTTATATATATAGATTAGATTCACTGATCACATCTTTAAATGAAAGGTTCCCAGAGGATAATTCAAAATATGAGATCATTTCACAGTTCATCCTAAGTACTTAAAAACAAACAAAAAAGAAGAATTTACCATACAACTCCAAAATCTAAAATCATTTTATGAAGAATTCATTGATAATATTGAAGAAGAAGGCCTAGTATGGTACAATATGTGGAAAGAAAAATATGATGACAATATGGATTTTCTGAAGTTATTAGATGAAGTCACATTTCTACCTTCAATAAAAAAATGTCTTTTAATAGCAGCTACACTTCCATCTACTACATGTAGCCAGGGTTGGGCAGTAATCAGTTACATGTATCAAAGTTACGTAACCCTGTTACTTTTGTAACTTGTAACTTGAAATCGGTTACACAATTTTTAAGCATCTTTTAAATGTAACGAGTTACAATTCGTTTTGTAACTTGTAACAATAGATGCATGTAACTTCAGTTAAAAGTATCGTCTTGTATCATTATTTTTTATTTTGTACCATAGCTGGTTTTGTACAATACTAACCAATATTATTTCAATTTGTGTTAAGAGTTGTCAATCTTGTTTTATTCGTTTTTTTCGCCTGAGAAAACCATAGATACGATAGTAATATAGTATGTAATTGGCATAATCTCTTTTCTATGGCAATAAGTATGTATCATTTGACAATTTGACATTGACATTTCCTAATCTAATCATATAAAGAGTAACGATAAACACAACTCTAATAAATATTATAAAAATAAAATTGGAAATTTGTAGGTACTTTGAACAAGGCATTGGTACATTATTACCGGTTTTTCGACGTCGTTCACCGTCCACCGAAGTTAGTCGCGTATCAGTTATTTATTTATTTATTTACGGAATAAATCCATTTACAATATTAATATATAGTGTACAGTGTAAAAAACATATGATGATATTTAGTTTAGTGATTACATATTATTTAAACCTAGATATAGTACAAGTATAGTTTACAATATATTAAATATAATTACATTTAGACTGAATTAACAGTGAACAATTAAAAACATTGAAACAAAACAAAAAATACATTTTAAATAATCAAACATTAAATGCTGATTTAATACTATTTATATTACAAAAAAACAAATCTAAATTAACTGAATTTGCAATAGACATCAGTGAATTTATTGGGGAGGAAAAAGAATAATTGGTTCGTATAATTTTCAAAGTGAATAAATCGTTATTTCTAGTTAAAATAATTTTTGCTTTAAAATTTAATCTTTCTAGTATTTCTTGGCATTCAATTTTGTTATTTAATAAATTAAAAAGAAAAATGTAAGCTAGATATTTTCTACGATTTCTCAAAGTAGGTATGTTGAAAAAACCAGATACTCCCTCATAACCTGAATGTGAAAGGCGTTCTACATTACATTTGAAGGATAAAAAGCGTAAAAAAGAATTTTGAACGGAATCAAGAGTTTGATTTAGAATTAAGGAATTAGGAGACCAAATGAAAGCAGCATATTCTAGTTGAGAACGTACAATAGAAAAATAAATGTTTTTTAATGCGAAATGATTGTTAAAATTTGAACATTGTCGTTTTAAGAATCCTAACTTAGAAGATGCTTTATTTTTTATTTTATTGATATGTTGTTTAAAATTCATTTTTGTGTCGAAAAATACACCTAAATCATTTATTAAATATACACGTTTAATTTCAAGGTTTATAAAATTGTAATTAAAATCAAGAATGGTTTTTTTTTGAGAGAATGAGATAATTGAACATTTATTTATATTTAGTTCCATGCCGTTATTTGTTCACCAATCGTAAAATGCGTCTAAATCTGATTGTAACTTCAAGGCATCAGAAACGGAGTAAATAGTTTTATATAATTTCGCGTCATCAGCAAAAAGTAGAATATTTGTATGTTTTAGTGAAGAAGAAATATCATTTATGTATAATAGAAATAACAGCGGAGAAATGTGGTCTCCTTGTGGAACCCCGGATGTTATAGAAATCGGATTTGAAAAAAACTCATTATATTTTACAATTTGAAATCTTTCTGTTAAAAATGAAGAAAACCATGATAATAGAGGATTTTTTATACCATAATGATTTAATTTAGATATTAATAAGTTATGATCAATTCGATCAAAAGCTTTCTTAAAATCAGTATATATCACATCTGTTTGTGTATTCATATTAAAAGATTCAAAAATGGTTTGTTTGAATGTGGCTAAATTAGTAATGGTTGATCGTTTAGTAAGAAAACCATGTTGTTCTTTGATAATAATGTTTTTTAATATAGGGAATAGTTTGTCATTTATTAATTTTGTGAAAATCTTAGGTATGATTGATATTATTGAGATAGGACGATAATTTAAAACGGATGAACGATCTCCTTTTTTAAATAACGCGGAAATATAAACTATTTTAAAAAGTGATGGAAAAGTTCCAGATGATAACGATTGTTTGAATAAGTAGTGAATTGGATATGATAATATGATGCGGCAATTATAAAGAAATTTAGGAGATATATTATCTGGACCTGGACATAGATTTATATTTAGATTGTCTAATTCGTTGAAAATATCCATTAAAGAAATGTTGGTATTGCAAATATTTGGTATTGAATTTAAAATGTTATGTTTGTAATTAGGATTTGTTAAGGGTGATGTGTATACACTTGAAAAATATTCTTTAAACATGTCTACTATGGATTGTCCATCGCTTGCCTCCTTGTCATTAAATTGCATTAAATTAGGAAGGTGATTTTTAGGTTTTTTATCGTTAAAAAATTTCCAGAAGTATTTGGGATTTGATATTACATTATTTTGAACATTTTTTAAATATGTAGAATAGTCTATATGTCTTAGATTTTTGCATTTAGTTCTTAGATTTGAAAATTTTATGTAATTTGAATAAGATTTTAAATATTTAAAATTATAATGAGCTTTTTTTTTTTGCTTAATTAGTGATTTAAGTTCATTACTAAACCATATAGGATATGAAGAGTTGCGTTTAATGTAAGTTGGTACAAAGCTATTAATTATGTTAGATAATAACGAGTAGAATAATGAAATATTAGATTCTATATTATTATTTAAAAATATATCCAACCAATTAATCGATGACAGTGATAAATGTATTTGATAGTAATTTGCTTTTTCCCAATCATATACAATTTCATTATATTTTAAATCTTTTATTTTTAAAAGTGAAACAACACAACTTATTTCAAGTGGAGGGTGATATAAATCAACATTTACTACAGGAAACTTATTTAAAATTACATTAATAGAGTTATTGTTTGATATAACATAGTCAAGAATATCATTTTTTGAATTACAAATATTATTAAATTGAAACATATTTAAGAAGGAAATGTTGTCGAAAAAGAAATTTTTTGTATTTGTAGAAATTGCTGAGGGAATATTAAAATCGCCAAGTAAAATGATATCTGAGTTGGGATAGTTATAATATATATCGTTTATTATTTTAAAATATTTTGAATATACTTCTATAACTGCTTTGTTAGGAATATAAATTGAACTTATAATAACGGTTTTATCTTCAAATTTTATTAATACAATAACCATTTCTAACGTATTATCGGATATATTAATACATCGAGAATATAATTTGTTATCAACAGCGATAAGTACTCCGCCACCTCTAGTAAGATTACTATTGTAAGTATTTCTATCACATCGAAAAATATTATATTCATTAAAACCTAATTCTGAACTATTTATATTGTTAGATAACCAGGTTTCAGTAAAAGCATAGACGTTGAAGCAAGATAAGGGAATGCGGGAGTTTAACATATGGGTTTTTGTGTTTAAACCACGTACATTTTGATAATAGATTGAGATAGTAAATGGATTTGACTTAACATGTTTTTTGAGTTAATAATTTGTGGATTTCCTTTTATGTATTTAATTATAATATTGGTTTCTCCTTTTTCGCGACGTGATTCGAGTTCTTTCCGAAGTAGTGCCATTTGTTCTCTTTGTTTGATTGTTCGATCTGATGAAAAACGTATGTCTTTAAAATCTGACGTAGAGTGGATTGTGCACGTAATGTTTCAAAGATAGATTTTTTATCCGCAAGAGTTATTTTTAACGGGCGTGTTCGATCTGAAGGTTTTCCTAAACGGTTAAAATTTATAGGATTATAGTCTACCTTCATTTCTTTGAATATAAGTTTCAAATTGTCACCATCGGATATAGGAATTTGTGTGTTATTTAAATTTTCTGGTAAGTTATACAAGATTATATTTTGAGCTCTTGATTGTCTATCAGCTAATTCATTTAATATATTTAATTCATCCAATTGAGTAGTTAAAGTAGTTTTTTCGATTTGTATTAATTTGTTCTCAAGTTCAGAAATTTTAGTTTTTAAAAATGAATTTTCAGTAGCTAGTTTATTTATTTCAGTAGACAGGTCATCAAATCGTTTATTAAAACTTTTTAAAGTTTTATTTTGTTCATTTATTGAAGTGATCATTTTATTTTGTGTAGACTTTACCTCATTTAAAGATTTTAATATAGAATCTAGTTGATCTTGCATTGTTGAAGACAATAATAATAATGATAAAAAAGAAAAAAGATAATTTATAAGATAGTAGACAATACGATATCACTGATAGGTAATAATATAAATTATGCACTGCACAACATAGTCGTATGACTGCACAACACTAACTGTGTATACTATGGTTATACACTTATACTTAATATAATAATATTGGTATTTTTTCGAGTTTTGACGCGTTTTTGAGATGGATAATGAAAATAGAACACCCGTTATATTAGATGGAACATTTTTTGAAGTTGTAATTGTTAAGAACGAAATTGTAAAAGCAATATGTATGATATGTAAGGAACAGAAGAATGAAAAAAAAACAATATCTGGTTCTTTTAAACACACTTCTAATTTCCGTACTCATATGAAGGCAAGTTTCAATTTTTTTAGTTAATACAATATCCATTATTAATTAAAAGAGCGTTGAATTATGATTTAATTTTTACTTTTCAGAGGGTTCATTTTACTAAATTTGAAGAATTTGAAAATTATGTGAAGTCAAAGACGAATACTCAAAAGAAAAATAATAAAAGTATGACAAATTCTAGACAATTAAAAGTAAACAATTTATTCCTATCTAACATTGGAGGATTAAAGCAAACCCAATACGAAAACAATTTGGTTAATTTTATTGTTAACAATATGAAACCCATATCCATAACTGAAAATAAAGATTTTCAAAAACTTATTTTGGGTAAGTACCTATTTAATAGCCTATTTATGATAATTTATAAAATACACAAATTATATTTAGTCCAATTTCAAATAATATACTTATTTAGATTTAGATCCAAATATAAAAATGATATCTAGGAGAACAGTTGGTAGACGTATAAATGACAACTACAACAATGTTTTAAATAGTTAAAAATTTTTTTTTCAAACACATTGTGTCATTGTGAAGTCCGTGTTTGTACAACTGCTGACATTTGGTCGACGAAACATCGCAGTTTTATAGGCATTACAGCTCACTGGGTAAAGTTAATTATTTTGCAGCCTGTAGCCGCTATAGGCTATAAAGCAAAATGCACTTATTTTTAATTAAAAAAATATTAATTTCAGATCGATGACAAAACATTAGGCCGTCATAGTTGTGTTCTAGCTTGCCAACGTTTTTTTGGTGCACATACATTTGATAAAATTGGAGAAATTATGGTAGATATATTTAGCAAATTTAATTTAAGTAATGATAACATAGTTTCTACAGTAACGGATAATGGGTCCAACTTTGTAAAAGCATTCAAGGAGTTTGGTTGTAAAATACAATTAAGACATCAAACAATGATTCAGACACAGACTCCGATGGAGGTATATTATACATAAATTATTTTATAATAATTGATTTTATAACTGCCAATGGATCAATATATTTAGATATGGACAAAGACCTTAACGAAGACAATGAGTTATCATTTTTGGTTGTTGATGAAAATGATGATGGTGACATCCTACTACCCCAACATTTACGTTGTGCATCACATACACTTAGTCTATTAGCGACAACAGATTTCCAGAACATATTAAAGAATTCAAATGCCAAAAAGTACCATCATCCAGCATTATCAAAATGTTCGACCTTATGTAATTTGTCACGAAAACCGAAATCATCAGAAGTTATTAGTAATATAATTAATTGTTCTTTAATATATCCTGTTATTACAAGATGGAATTCATTATATGATTCCATATCACAATTAATTAAACATAAAGCAAAATTAAACACATTGACTAGAGATTTAGGTTTAAAGTATCAATTTAACGAAACTGACATAAGTTATTTGACTGAATTTGTTTTATTAATGAAACCTATCGCTTGTGCTCTGGATCATCTACAAAGCGAATCAAATTTTTACTATGGCCATTTAATTCCTACTTTATTTTCATTGAAAAGTCGATTACTAATATTAAAGGAACAACATTTGCGTTATACTTTCACTTTTATCGATCCATTAATAACCTCGCTATTAAAACGATTCAAACTATATTTTGATCTCTCCCCTGAAGTTGATAAAGCTATATTGGCATCTTGTTTTCATCCTACATTTAAATTAAGATGGATTCCTGAACACGATGAAATTATGAAAAATAGAGTTAAAAATCTTTGTATCAACATTGCTGAAAAATATATAGAGAATTCTTCTCACACTGAGTTATCAGTAGATAATGTAGACGATGAAGACTTTTTGATATTTTCTTCTCAGGAAAAATGTTTTGATTCTAGGGCTAATTTAGAAGTAGTTCAGTTTTTTAATAATAAAAATAAGGCATTAACATGTTTAGACAGTTACTCTACTATAAAAAAATTATTCATCAGATACAATACAAGTTTACCATCATCAGCTCCATTTGAAAGATTGTTTTTATTTGCTGGATTTATTCATGCTCCAAATAGAAGTAATTTATCGAACACTAATTTCGAAAAACTTGTGTTTCTTAAATTAAATGATATTTATAGGTAATATTATAAAAATATATTGTAAGTTATAGTGCTAATAATATGGACAATATGGTCAGTATGATTGACTCGTTTTTAATTGATTTTTAAAAACTAAACATTTTTTATGTACATTTATATGCTTATCAATAGTTATTAAAAGTGTAATATAATTTTAAATAATATAATATCTATGTAACAAAACTAAAATAAAAATTATCCACTCATTTGAAATTTATTATAAATTATGCGACCATTAATGATATTCCTAACCTTAGTTGGCCTAACCATAGTAAATACTAAATAATAATATAATATATAATATAAGTAATATTACTAACCAAGATAATTTCAATTTTTGATGTAAATTGTGTTTTGTGCATTTAAAATATTATATATAAGTATAAGTATACCGTGTGTAACAGAAAGAACTGACCAAAAAAAAAAAAAAATGATGCTACTTAAATGTATGACAAAAATTGTTGAAATTATATGATTAGTAAATAGTTTTAAGAATATACCCATGTTATAAAATTTCCAAAAATAATATTTTTAAAAAAGCTATTGCGTTCCAAATTTATTTTATCAAAAAAAATATTGATATTTAAAAAAATTCTAAAAAATAAACTACTAGACTTAGATAAATGTTTTTACCATCCAAATCGTTCTTAAAATCAGATTCACAAGTTTGCTATTTTGAATTTATTCAAAAAAATTTAAGTCAAATTTAAAATTTTTTATTTTAAGTATAAAAAAATAAAAATAATTTTTTTCCTCTTACACGTGTAGAGCAAGTGGCTATAAATTATATATAAAAAAAAAATTAAAAATAATGATCAGAACAAAAGTTATTCCAAAAGTCAGTTCTATCTGTTACACCCTGTATATGTAATATAAGTAATTATTTAATATATTATAATTAATAAATAATATATAATTTTAAATACTTGCATAGAATAGTAAACACGTATTATATTAGCTTTAACATATTGTAAAAATAAATTTTATTGACTGAAAATTATATTATTATTTTTACAAAAATGTAATAAATTATGTGTAACTTGTAACTTATAATGTAACTAAGTTACAGTAACTTTAACTTGTAACCAGTTACTCAGGATATATATAACATGTAACTTGCAATCAGTTACCCAAAATTAAAGTAACTTGTAACTTGTATCCAGTTACACTGTGTAATGTAACTTGCCCATCCCTGCATGTAGCGTTGAAAGGTCTTTTAGGTTTGTATTACAATTTATAATATATTTTTTATTTTTACTACTTTAATTATTAATTATGTTTTATATTTGCTTTTAATTAGCTCGCTTGAAGGACTTAAAACATGGCTTCGTAATACTGTAACTGAGAACCGCTTGAATGGCTTGAATATTTACAAAACTTATGTGCAAACCCAAAAATCAAACATTATAGATGAAACAATAAAATTATTTGCTATAGAGCCTAGGCGCATGCATTTTATTTAATGACCAATAATCTAATTAATCTAATTAGTTAATATAATATAATAATCTATACAATTTTTTTTTTTTCAGTGCTCTTAATGTCTCATATAATATTTATAATATAATATTTATAATATATTTTTTATTTTACTACTTTAATTATTAATTATGTTTATATTTGCTTTTAATTAGCTCGCTTGAAGGACTTAAAACATGGCTTCGTAATACTGTAACTGAGAACCGCTTGAATGGCTTGAATATTTACAAAACTTATGTGCAAACCCAAAACTCAAACATTATAGATGAAACAATAAAATTATTTGCTTTAGAGCCTAGGCGCATGCATTTTATTTAATGACCAATAATCTAATTAATCTAATTAGTTAATATAATATAATAATTTATACAATTTTTTTTTTCAGTGCTCTTAATGTCTCATATAATATTTTGATGAAAATATACCTACTGTTAATCATATTATGGTGTCATCAGTTTGTTTACTAAGTTTGTAATGAAACTATAAAATACTATACCTAATAATATGTTATGGCTATGTATAATACAACTTTGCCCCCCCCCCACCTGGTGAAAATTTCTGAGGGCGCCCTTGTACGACCTGTTCTTGAATATGCATCACTAATTTGGAGTCAATTGTTAACCACACATATTCATGATCTAGATAATATTCAATTTCAATTTTTCAAAAGAATTGCCCATATGAATAACCTACTCATTTCTAAAGACTCTATTATGCCAGTACAACATTTAGTAAACATAGAGTCAGTACAGCTAAGATGTAGGTTATTTGATATCATGTTCGTGTACGACTTGTTAAGTTATAATAATATTGTAAGCTCTGAATATTTATCTCTGGTCAATTTCCATATTCCTTCCAACTACTCCAATGATCTCTTTGCCATTCCATTTATCAAGTCCAAATCAAGTAATGACTCATTCTTTGTTAGAGCTCTGAAACTTGCTAATTTATTCTCCACCACCTTAGATTTTTTCAATACTAATCGTGATACTTTAAGATCTAAGTCAATTATATTTTTAAAAGAAACATTATAATTTTAATAATAGTCTTCGTCATTCAATACTACATTTAAAATTGTAGAAGGGCTATAGACCCGTAATTTGTAAATTACGAGAATTCAGTACCTATATTAAATTAGACAGTTTTTAATTATTCGTCCATTTTTACAATATTTACAAATTTCAATGAAATAAGGAATATTAGTTAATTGATATTGACTAATATTTTAATTGTTTGTATAAAATAGTTAATTTATTAATAAATTATAACATACATCAGCAAGTATAATTTAATAAATACATTACACACAATAATTATATAAGTATAATAAAAATAAAAAATAAATCATTAAATTTAAAAGGCTATTTACCCAGACCTTTTGGACTTTTTTTTTTTTTTTTGAACAATTGATAATTTATCAATATATTTTTCACTTAATATTATGATATTCGTAATTTGAATACGGATTATGAAGGCATTAGATTTTATCCTATAACTGTATTACTCTATGTCATCTATAAATTCAATATATACCTATATTGGATGGAATCAAATCCAGGAAATTTAAACTTCTTTTTTTTGAATTGTAATGCTTTTAAGGGTTTTTTTTTTGGTACTTTTTTTGCTTTTAAGTAACATTTTAAAGTATTTTATCAAAATGTGTTCTAAATAAATGTATTTGAAAGATTAATATTTATTTTAATTTTGCGAAATTGATTTTATCTCGTTAAATTTAATTTAATTTAACAAATTAATTTTAAAAAACAACAGTCTAAAGAATTGAAATCTATTTGATTATAATAGTATAAATATAGTTTATTATAATTATTTTTTAATAATTTAATAAACTAAGAAATATTTAAAATGTATAATATCTTTTATTATTTTTGTTATCATTATATCACTAAGTGTATGAATCCCTTACAAAGTAAGGATGCTAAAGATCTTTTATTGAACGAGATTGCGTTTAATTAGCAATTCCAGACCGAGAAAAACATACAGTCCATTGAGTTGAATCAACATGACGTGGAAGAAGATGATTTTCTCTTGGGTGAAGTTAGTTTCTGATCAACCCAATGGTGAAGTGGAGCGATATTATAATACAGTTAATACAGGAGATTAAAAATTTTTAAATAGTTTGCCTATGATGAAACAATTTTTAGTTGAAGTTTAATCATCACTCCCTTCAAGCACTTCTGTCGAAAGGCTCTTTAGTGTAACTGGAGATTTTGTACAAAAAAATAAGCTAAAATAAATGAAAATATTTTGATAATACATTATTGTATAATATAAATATAAAGAAAGATTGATTTTATATAGACTTTTTTTTTATGGAACTAAAATAACATAAGAGTAACGTCATTGAAACTAGTTACTTTTGAGTAAAAATGTAACGTTACGCATTACTTTTGTACTTGAGTAACTAACAAGTAATCTAGTTACCTATTTTATGTTGTAACTTGTAACGTAACTTAATTACTTTTGAAAAGTAACTTAAACGACATTGTTTTTTTTTAAAGAAATGTTATCAGTTAAATTGAACATGTGATTAAATGTATTTATTTTTTAATAAAAAGGTACTTTGTGTGTCATAATGCCACTGTCATTTTTCATTTTTAAATTTTATGAATTTTTGTTGCTACAAGGTAGCCTGCCTCATGAAAGTACATCCCAAACTTTTTAAATCTGTTAAATTATTTTTATAAATCTTACAATGTTTGTTATTATCAGAAAAAAAACTAGATTCTGATTCGTGTCTAATTTTTCTTTTTCGACCTGTACGATTTGAGATTTTTTCAATCTTCTCTACATCTTTAGACTGATTTGATGTTGTTTTATTTAACTGTTCCAAATATTTTAACTTGTTTTTTTCATCAAGTTTACTATTTTTTAGTTTGTCATTTGAACGCAATAATCTTCTAGTACATGGGACATTGTCAGATCCAACTTCATTTGTTTTAGCTGGAGAGCTTTCTAATAATGTTGAAGGAATCGTCTCATTGACACCATCTTTCGGGTCTAGAAAGGACATAGAATTAGACTTGGATCTGGTTTTAACACCACAATTTAATAATATTTTCTTCTGAATTTCATTATTTGAACCTTTAAAAATAATATTAATTAAATAATACAAACACCTAATGAAGACAATAAAAACAAAATAATCAATACAATTAACTTACATTCTTCATCTAGTCTTTTAATTTTTTCTCCTTCTTCAACAATCAACTGGTCAAACTCTTCTGGTAATTCAAAGTCTTTCTTACTTGTATCAAAACTTATATTTTCTATAATATCCTAAAAATTAAGAAAATATTAGACTCTTATCATGTAGAAGGGTAAATTATGATCAATAAGGTTATTATTTACAGCAGCTCTAATATCCCATTTAGATGACACATAATTCCATAGAAGCTTAATTGGTACATTAACTTGCAACTCTTTAGACATTTTTTCTTTTAGTAGAATTATACTTAAGTGTTTGTTAATTCCTGAAACCAAATACAATATTTTAATTGTTATAAACATAATATGTGTGCTTTTTTATATATATTATAATTGTACAGTAGAACCTCGATCATACGAACAAATAGGGCACCTGTTTGGAAAGACAACATTTTTTTAATACTACTGGGTGATTCTTTTATCAAACAACACTCATTATTTCAAAGTGTAAATTTTTTTGAAAATATTTTTTTACATAGTTTCAGGTCGCTTATAAAACAACGTTTTTACTAAAAAATTATTTTTTAAATATTTTTTATTCTTATAATTTTTTAAGTTTTTTACTTTTTTGAATGACAACATAGGGTTTTAATTTTATATTCCAAAGTAGAATATTTTTCTTAGTATTTTGATACATGAAAATTGAATTTGGGGAGAGTAGTTTATGAGTTATAAGTATTTACAGTTTAGACGAGCGGAGTGGAGTGGTTCGGGGTTACCCCGCTAAATGTTTGTCCACTTCACCGCTCGTCTAAACTTTAACTACTTATAACTCATAAACTACTCGCCCCAAATTCAATTGCCATGTATCAAAATACTAGGAAAAATATTCTACTTTGGAATATAAAATTAAAACCCTATGTTGTCATTCAAAAAAGTAAAAAACTTAAAAAATTATAAGGATAAAAAATATTTAAAAATATAATTTTTTAGTAAAAACGTTGTTTTATAAGCGACTTGAAACTATTTAAAAAAATATCTTCAAAAAAATTTACACTTTTTGAAATAATGAGTGTTGTTTGATAAAAGAATCACCCAGTATATATTATGTACATACATATCACAAAAAACATACGTCATAATAATATGTACATGATATTTATAATTATTATATATATTAATTTATTAATTATTATAAAATACATGATTAATACAGTGCACAGGCGCTACAAGTTAACTACTTCACTATCACTACAAATATTATAAAATATGAGAAATTAACTCTGTGTGTCTACATTTAACGCTCTAACGTTCATAAAGAAATATTGCAACAAATAAATGAATACATAAATCTACTTCATGTAGATATTATTGCCTTCATTAAGGAGATAAACATGAAATATCATCAATTTATGGAAAATTATTTCAAACAAGAAATGTATTTAATTGATAAAGGACATAGAAATGTATGGTTTATATTTTTGAAAACAGAGATTAATTATTAATTGTTTTAATTCTCAAATCAATTACAGATACCATTTAATTTATAGAATGAAAATATCGAAAAATTTCAAGAAAAAATATAAAAAATGGTGAATAAAATTACTAAAGAAATTTGAATTTAATCACTGCATCTATAGTAATAATAAACCTCAACACTTCTGAAATGATAAGGTTATTAAAATATAAATCATACGATGATGATCCATAACTGGATTGATTTTTTTCAATAATATTTAATTCCTAATAGATTAAAGAAAGATTATGACACCATGAAATACGAAGATATTACATACAATGAATATTTCAAAATTGCCTCAATTAATTGATGTAACATCTATAAAAACCAATATAATTATATTTTCATTATATAGATATAATGTCTGATATCAAAGGTATAGGTCGAATCAGTAAAATAGAATCAAAAGACGGACGATAATTTAAAAAAAAAAAAAAATAATTCTAATTGATACAATTATGCAAAGGTCATGAGACAAATTATTTTTATTACAAAAAAAAAAAAAAAAAATCATTCCTCACAATTTTTATATTATGGAATGAACTTTCAAGGAAAAGAAAAGACCATAATAACTTTGGAATAAGTCAGAGCGACTGAATAAATATCTATCAGTCATTCAAATATTTTACAATCTTCTAAAATACCTACATCCTACCGTTTATTTTTTGAAGGTTCAATAATTGATAATAATCTCTGAAAATTATAAAAATATGAAAATTACACCATTCTCCAAGGAAGAATTATAAAATGTAATATAATCATCATACAATTGTAATTTGGAAGAAATAAATGAGCAATCGAAATATAGTGTGTAATAGCAACGTACATTTACACTCAGCAAATCATGTTTAGCTCCGTTTATCATCCTGACACTAAATCATATCGAATAATTTCATATTGCGCTTTATGATAATATAGTACCTAAATTATAATTTAGAATGTGTAAATACAAACTAACTGTAAATAACTAAATGTTATTAAAAATGTTATTAACTAAATACAAAATGTTATTTAAGTAAATACTTATGTTATGATATACATTTGGTAGATCTTTTATAATAATTAATTAACTAAAACAATTTACAATAGAAATATTCATTATTACAGTATAGGTTATATTATATAAACTTAAAAATTAATTGATTTGAGGTACATCATGACCTAAATAATACAATCTTGATGCATATAACTAAAGAAAAGGGGCAAACAGCCATGCGTCACACTTACCACTAGGCTTCAGGCCCTTCATGTTTAGTAGCAAACACCTTTCAAATCTTGTAGTCCATTTGAAATTTCTAATTGGCTCAAAACCAACGCCATTGCTGTCGCCTGTCACCGAGCAATTAGTCATGTCTGATTTGGATGGCGATTGATTTGACATTGCTGGAAAAATGATGGTTGTTATGTGATATTAGCAGAGGATTTCTTGAAATGATTCGATAGCGCTGAAAAAATTAAGACAGTGATGATACGATGTAGGATGTACTTAATCCACTACCTACTACACATAACACTATAACTATAATAACTATATATATTATTTGTTGGGTCAAACGTTTACCGTGTCCAGGGAGGAACACTTACATACAACACTAGTCACGAATTCACGATGCACCGCTTGCCATCTAATTTTTTGAAAAAAAACGTCAATCACCGGTCTGTCAAAGGTGATCAGACGGTCCAGGTTATTTCTACGCACCTGAGAGGACACAGGTGACTATGTCATATGTCGGTATTATTTTAGTAATAATAATAATCAGTACTAACGAATATTATGGTTAATTGTACTGCCCTGGTAACCGTCCCCTCTGGGAAAAATACCGGCAACAATGCACATGCCACATTGGCCAAATATTACCTACCCAGTATCCAGTATTATCTATGACACGACTCTAAATATTAATTCATGTTTAGCATTAAACATTGTTGTTAAATATGAATGTTTATATTGTAGTCATTGTTAAATGTTGATGGCAAAACAAGACAGCAGGGACGCGCGCGTGTATGAAAAACGACAAGACTATTATAGTTGAATGATAGTTTACTCACCAATGTTGCCGTTTACCAATTTCGCTTTCATCCGTCACTAACCACCGTCACCGTCTTAGTGTATTGGCCGAGAGCGTATAATAATAATATTATGTTAATTGTCAATAGTGATTTGAACACACAGCTTCTACATCTGCACAGTCGTGTACTCGTATAGTTCACTACTTCACTCTATAATCTATTGACTGTTATCAACAATATCAAAAGACCGGGAGTGTGAGTAACATTGATAAATATTTTCACCTTAAATTGAACACGTCGGAAATGTGGCTGCCACGTCTATGATTTCTCGCGCCATCAATAAACAGATGATTGTGTTATCACTGTCTGGTCGTTGGTGTCAAAAACCGTGAAATAGTATGAAATAATATAAAATACCTATTTGTACATTTCACTATTATTGTATATTAATCGTTCAAATACTAAATACCTAATAATAACAAGTAGGCAGAGGCTAAAATATAATTTTTTCCGTACTACACACTTTATATTAAACTATTGTAGGTACCTACCGGTGGAGGCTTTGAGCCGTTGCATCACAATAAAACGATAGGTAGGTATAATATGTTGGTAACATTATTAGTACAATATAATTATTAATTTTACAGTCCGAACTGTAAATACTATAGAACGTAAATCCGAACTGCTTAGTGGACAAAGGAACGGATGGCGGGAAATCGCGGCGGCGCGGCCGTCGCTGCGTTATCACTCCTGCTTATCGCTTTTCGCGGTTTTTACCGTTTTTCACGATTTTTTTTCAAAATGTTCGAGTTTTACCCCCCTCGGAGGCCTCGGGCGGCCCCGTTCGAACCTTATTCGTGTTCCTCGGTAAATTTATAGTCGGCGCGCGGCCCTACTTTTGGCCCGGCGGGCCAGCGGCGGCGGATGTCGCGTGCGATACGAGCGTCGACGTCGCGCGCGCGTTTTTTGCCGTTTTTTTCGAAAATTCGAGTTTTAGGCGTTTTATGGCGTATCGACCTCCCCGTTTGGATCTTATTCGCGTTCCCCGCTAAATTTACAGTAGGCGCGCTGCCCTACTTTTTCAAAAACGAGTCCCCCGGCGGACGATTCGATCGCCGAGAGCGCCGCGTCGTCGCCGTTTCGACGGTTTTCTCGACTTTTTCGACTAGAGTCGCGTTTAGCACCTCTACGAGACGTCCGACCTCCCCGTCGGCGACGTATTCGAGTTCCACGCTAAATTTATAGCCGGCGGGCGGACCAACTTTTTCAAAAACGAGTCTCGGAGAGGTGCGGCATCGCTTAAACGAGAGTAGGTAGGTACCGAGTATGTACCGCTATATACAGGCATAAATACATGCGTCTCGAGGTTCGATTTTTTTCGCGAATCTCGCGTTTTATACGTCAGAGGGCGGCGGATCCGGAGGTCCGCTCGCCGAAGCGGTCGGATCGCCCGCTCAAACGCCTTTTGACGGCCGTCCAAACGGCGTTCGCCTTTCGCGTGCACGGCGACGTGGCTTAAGAGTCATACATTTGACTGTAAATTTCATCTCAGTAGGTGGCTAGGTTGGTTAGGCGTTAGGACAGGGGACTCGAGGGTCGTGGTTTCGAATCCGCCCGCCGGGATTTTCTATAATTTTTTTTTTTTTCGTCGTTTCGCTATCACTTCCGTCTTATCGTATTTAACGAAAATGTTCGGTTTTTTTTTAAAATTCGAATTTTACCGCCTCTACGGACTTCGAAGACTTAATCGCGTTCCCCGTCAAAGCAGTCCTTGATACTATTTATTACTATACACGGCGTGAATATATGCGTCGAAGAGTTCGATTTTCTTTTTTTGCAGTTTTTTTCAAAAATTTGAGTTTTAGCCCGTTTCGGTCGTACGCCCTCCCCGTTTGGATCTTATTCGCGTTCCTCGCTAAATTTACAGCCGGCGCAAGGCCCTACTTTTTCAGATACGAGTCCCGGGGAGGAGCGACGTCGCGGAAACGAGAGTAGGTAACGCTAAATATATGCGTCGCGTCGTTTTTTGCCGTTTTTTTCTAAAATTCCAGTTTTAGCCCTTTTCGACACTTCTGCAATCCCAGTTGATGACTTATTCGCGTTCCCCCCTACATTTACTCGATCACCGTCGAGAAGGTGTTACTATATATACAGGCATCGAAATGCATGCGTCGAAGGTTCCTTTTTTTTCTCGAATATCGCGTTCTGAACTCAGTAGGTAGGTAGATAGGTAGCACGGCCGCCGGAATTTTTTTTTTTCACTTTTTTCTTTATTATTACTTTTCGATTTCACTTCAGCCTTATCATATTATAACGAACATTTTACGATTTTTTCGAGTTTCACCGTCGAAGGCTTATTCGCGTTCCCCGCCAAATGTATAAGTCAGTCAATGGTGGGCAAGTTAATGAAAATAATTAACTGTGGAAAGTTAAGTTAATTCAATTAAATTGCCTTCAGTTAAGTTAAAAGTTAACAAAAAAATAAAATTTAACTAGTTAAGTTAAAAGTTAAGATGGAAAATAAAATTAACTTAACTCAGTTAAAAAAAAGTTAATTTTTTTTTAAGTCATAATATTAACAGGTATAGGCTGTTTTTAAATATTTGTCATTTAGTACCATTATAATAGTCTATTATTAAAATAAAATCAATGAATAATGATAATAGTATAATACCTACCAAAAATTGTTTCAATATTTATTTCGATAATGTTATTTTCTAATCTCATACGTTTATTTGTATTTATAACGAATACGGCAATATAAATTATAATTTATAAATATCTCGGACGACTTTTTGTTTTGTCTATTGGAATTGTCGTATTTACCAGTAACCAGTATATATTATTGATATAATGATATCCATTTAAAGACTATGATATTTAGTTTTAAACCTGTTTTTAGGAATTGGAGAGTTAGATAAAACAAAAATCGGATTATTCAATACCATTAAATAATATTAAATCATTAAATAATAGAATTCGTGAAAATAGCCAGTCGATACAAGGATAGTATACCAATTATTACTCTTTAGTCTTTACTATAGTACCTATAGATTATAATATAATTTGATTATTATGAATTGATGATATTATATTATTAGAAAAATAAATTACGAAAATGGCAAAATAGAAAGAATAAGTTTTGTCTCTTGGTTCCACATGATAAAAATTTAATTTAATTAACATAACTGTACAATAATGATAATTAACTTTAAAAAGTTAAGTTTAAACAATACAAAATTTAACTGAATAAGTTAATAAGTTAAAAACAAAAAAAACTAACTAGTTAAGTTAAAAAGTTAAAAAAAAATTAACTTTTTAACTTAACTTTAACTTTTTAACAAGTTAATGCCCACCATTGAAGTCAGTACATCGCTCTAGTCGAGTGCCACGGAGGAGATCGGAGAGCGGACGGTGTCGTTATTACTATAAACGGAAATGAAAATATGCGACGAAAAGTTCGATTTTTTTTCGCGTTTTTTTTTCGTCATATAAATATGATTAACGGAAACGTTTCCGTGTTTTTCGGAGAATCATGGGGAAACAAAATCAAAATCAGCTTATCGAGTTTCGCTTCTAAATCGCTCTACTACCTACTATAAACGACAAAAACTATAAAACGTGGCCGCCCGACTTGCTAGACACTCAACAAATCACGGCGACTATATTAGGACTAGCACGGGCGCCCGAAATGTTATTATTTATATACATTTGATTTACGTCATTTGGCGTTTTCATGCCTTGACCCGGACGCGTATTTACGGATGCTACTCGAGACTGGCCAATAGATCCCAAATTCAGTTAGGGTTCGGAAAACAAATTTATTTTACGGACACTACTCGAGTCTGGCCACTATGTAATATACCGCTATACTCAAATAAATACCTACTATGAATTTATCTAAATAAATCTATTATTTAAATTTTATTCTAATTTTGTTGATAGGTTAAAAATATGTAAAAACATTATAATTAACAATGTATTTGCGACTGTATCTTATTGACAATAAAAAAAAAAAAATTATAAGGATTAATAAAAAAAATTAACGTATAATCTAATATGTAGAATGTAGATATATTTTATAGCTACAGTTAGGAAAGTGTCAGACTATTCAGCTTACCTAATGTTATTTTTTGGATTTACAATAATTTTAATACCTGAAGAACATAAATATTAAACATTTCGTCCAAATTTGAATTTAAAATGTCTGTAAAAAAAAACTGTGTTTATGTATTTTTTAGATTTTTTGGTAACAGTATGAACTATTTATGAGAATCTTTGTTTTAAATGTTCAATCCTTAGTTATAATAAGTAATAACTGAACATTTAAAATTTTTTTAATTACAGTGATTGATAATTTTAGATATGTTGATAAATTTTGTCAAAATTTGAACTTCAAATGCATATAAAAAAAATTGTGCCAATGTATTTTTAACATTTTACGATTGTTATTATAAAAATATATCAGGAGCCTTGTATTAAATTTTCAAGGTTTTTCGCCCAACAAATAAATTTTTATTGGTATTTATAGAGAAAAAAAAGTAAAAATATTGAAAACTGACAATGTCCGTAAACAGCTCAAAAAGAGTCAAATTATTTTGAAAATTGAATGGTGTATAGAAAATGCTAATATAAACATTCAGTAAAATTTTCAAGTATCTACAGTCATTCGTTATTTAATTACAACAAAATAAGAAAATCGTTACATGAGAAATCGAGCGAATATTAAACATTGTAAAAATATGAATTTCAAACGCTCATAAAAATTTAATTTGACTTCCTTCTAGAATTTTTTTTTTTAACAAAGATGGAAAAACTTATGAGGAATCTTGTATTACATTTTAAAATCTTAGAATTTAAAAGAAAATTTTTTATGAATTTCTAACTTAAAATAATTTGCAAATTTTCGTCATTTTTAAGTATTTTGTCAATATTTGAACTTTAAATGCTTATAAAAAAAAATTGTAACCAGGGATTTTTAATTTTTCTCTTCTACCTTTAAAACAATATACTAGGAGCTTTCTATTAAATTGTTAAGCTTTTATAACCAACAGATAAAATTTTATTGATATTTAAAGAAAAAAAACTAAAAAAAGTAGAAAATGAAAATGTCCGTAAATAGCTCAAAATAAGTCAAAATAATTGGAAAATTGTATGGTGTATAGAATATGCTACCTACGGTAATTTTTTAAATACCAACTAGATTCACTTTCCTATCAGAAAAGATACTATTTAAGAAAATCCAAACACTTTTACTGTCCTAAAAAGTGATGACAGACACAAAAAAAAATTAAAAAAATGAAAAAAAACACACATCATTGTAAAATCAATATACATTCTTCGTTCCACTCAGAATCTAAAAAAAAATAAATGAAATAAATAAAAACTTGGTAAAGATTCATTTTATTATTTTATAATAATATAATATAATATTCTTAATTGGACATTAGTTAGCCCATTACTAACCTAACTGTAGGCATTTAAAAATATTATTAATGAGATTTAGCATGTGGCAAATTGTTTAGTAAATTTTTACCTAGACTTCGAACCTTCTGTTTTTTCCTTTGCTTGACAGATATGACAAAAAAATTAATGTATAATCTAATATGTAGAATGTAGATATATTTTATAGCTACAGCTAGGAAAGTGTCAGACTATACAGCTTAATGTTATTTTTTGGACTTACAATAATTTTAATAATGTTCATATACTCGTATTATTTAAATGTCTGTATTTTTTTGTCTACGATATCTACATCCTTTCCTAAGCAATCAGTCTTTAAACTAGAAAGCAAGAATATTAAATATTTTTTTAAGCAAATAAATAAAAACTATTATAATATTCTTAGTTAGACATTAACAGACTAAAAATATGGTATCAATTGCCATGTATGATTTAATATTTATATATTAATAGCTACAGGTGGGAGAGTATCCTAAATATAAACCTTAATGTCGGGTTGTATATTGAGTATTGCATTATTTTTCCTATTACAAAAGTTATTAATAGTTATTGCTTTCGCAGTTACACTTATAACTTATCACACTTAAATATTATTAGTTGGTAACTTACTACGTAGGTACGCACGTTATGATATTTTGAAAATATAATTTTATTTACATTTGTATCATCTACAAATTTGTCTCACTTTTTTAATTTTGATTCTAATGTCCAAGTAGTGAAGTGTAATATCGTTAATGATAGTGAATATAATGCTACAATTAGAACAAAAATTTGCCAAGTCGATGATTCATACAGTAAAGGTTGCGATGATTGGGTTCGGAAATATTCATTATATTCAAAAACAAATTGGATAGTTAGATGTACATTTCCTAACAAACAAATGTATGTTTATCGAAAAGACTACATATGCCAACATTCATCAAAGAATAAAAGTCATAATTCTGATTTGACAAGGTTACGTGATAAAAACTGCAGTGCATCAATTAAAATTGTAGTAAAAAAAAATACTGTGAACACACAAAGAAAAGATCAATATATGCGTCAAGGTTTAGACACAGAAATAAAGGTAAGACAATTTTTCCAAACAAATAAATTATTTTATTTTACTAATTTTTAGGTTTTTAATTTATTTTATTTTCGGGTAGGTACTAGTAGTATTGTCCATACTCATAGAGTTTATAATGCTGAAGCATATAGCTACCTTAGAGTAAGCGAGGAGGTCCGCGAAAATTTTATTACCTATTTTAATGGTGGAATGACCCCTGCTGCTGCTAAAACATATCACGAAGTACAACTCACTAGTTCTATTGACGATACGGATAATATGAAGTGCATTAAACAATTAGCTAATGCACAAATCAATCCTACCGATCGTCAAATATATCAACTATTTGAAACATGGAGGTTAGTAAAAATTAAATATCTTCTTGTCTTATATCAGTTATATCTATAACATATTATTTGTATGAAAAAATGCACTTATTTAAATTAATGAATCACACAAACATTAATTGTTGTAACTCTAAAACAGATTACCGTAAAAACATGAAATTTTCACTAAATGTAAATACTGGCATTTTATATACATGATAAAATTTTTGAAATATTTTAAATCTTTTTAAGCTATTTATAAACATTTGAAATTTCCAATTTTTTTTAGTTTTTTTTTTATGTCTATAAGATTTTATCCGTTGGTTAAAAAACTTGAAAATTATATAATAACAATATAATTAATATAGTACTTACAACATATCCTAGACTGGCAAACCATCTCCACTCGGAATTGTTTTTCGTATACATTGATAATATTATAAAATTGAAACCAAATTTAATACCATCCATTACAGTAACCCAGCAGACTTCCCATCCACTTCCCATCCACTTACCCGCTTTTTTAGTTTAAGTATTTTTTTATATGTGTGGATTTCAAATTAATAATTGGTATTATTGTTGCGTCTGTTAATTACTACGAGTGAGGTGCACTACATACTAATTAAATATTATATTTTTATTATACAAATCTGTAGAACCAATTTATTTGATTTTTGTTTTTCTCGACGGTTTTGAAAACTATTAATTTATGTTAAATATTCAAGTGTTAGGTTTAATAATACTGAACATTTTATTGATTTTTAATTACAAAAGAATTTGCAAACTTTCATACACATTTTCGTGTAATTCACAAATTTAAATAAGTGCATTTTTTCAGTATAAAAAAAAAGTTATTACCTATCTTTTTCTTTTTTTTTATTAGACCAACATTATATATTACATATTATCACATAGGTAGATTATTATAATTTAACCCAGAAAGCAAAGATTGTGGTGGGCTGAATGATTTACGATACATTGATCAGTATTAAGAGAATAAAATATAATTTTACATGTTGACTAAAACATATATCATGATATATAACTAACAGCACTAAAACTAAATTTTACAGATTACCTTCTATTAAAGTTACACAATAAAGTATAAATATTTACACAAATTCGCTTAATAACTAATTTTTAACCATTATTTTAATGTACTTAATAGTATTAGATTTTAAAGTGAAATTATCAAAAATATTTTTTTCAATATTTAAAGTCAACGAGTTATACATAACTGGACCTGAATAATCAATGAACCTACCTCAGATCAAATTGTTTATTTGTGTACTTAATACTAACATCATATACTCTGAAATAAAATACAACATTTTTGTTTTATAGTATTTTTAAATTCGTAATACTTTGTACGCACTAGGGCACTTGCTCCATTTGCCCCCCACCCTTATTTAGGACGGCTATGCTACATTTATTATATAATATTGTCTATGGATCATATAGGAAGAATTATATGCTAAATATTTTATTGATTTATATTAGGTTATAATTATCAACATTATAATTACTTGTCCTACCTATTTCTTCTAATGTAGGTCAACTCATTTTGGGGATAGAAGTGATACAGGAGTATACAAAGTCCTTTTAGAAAAAAAGTCGATGTTTGAAGAAAATGGAGGATTTATTGAAACTGAAGAAAATCCACTTACAATTGCAATAGTAACTCCTATCATGAAAAGGGCTCATAGTTATTCATTTTCGAAAGATATAGTATTCGTTGATTCTAGCAGCAGTTGTGATCAAGGTAACTCTACCATAACATTTTTTTTTGGTGCGTCAAAAGTAGGTGGCATTCCTTTAGGGGTAGTTATACATAAGCAGCAAACAAAAGAAGATTACTTACGAGCATTCAGTTTATTAAAAAAATGTCTAGGTAAAATTGCATTTTATGGACAATTACAGCCATCATTATTTATGACTGACGATAGTTCTGCAGAACGGCAAGCTTTAAAAGCTGCTTTTCCAGCATCAACTTTACTACTGTGCGCATTTCACGTTTGTCAGGCTTTGTGGAGATGGTTGTGGGAGAGTAAACATCAAATAGAAAAATCTGAAAGGCAGGCTAAAATGCTTAAATTTAGAACCGTTCTTTTTTCTCATGATGAAGAAGAAGCTAAAAGAGGAATGGATGAATTATGTAATGATGACCATGAACAATTTTCCAAACATATGAAGTCATTAAGATGCAGAATGAACGAGTGGGCAATTTGCTATCGACAAACATATTCAACTTACGGTCACAACACAAATAATATAATCGAATCATCTATAAGAATTTTTAAGGATGTGGTACTGGAACGTTGTAAGGCATTTAATGCAGCAGCACTGGTAGATTTTATATTTAAGGTATTAGAAAATTATCATAAAAGACGTCTTATTAAATTTGCGTCATATAGAATTACAAAGCCAGAAATTCAATATAATTCATTTTGTAACAAAGCAAATGATTTAAAAGTTATTCAGATCGATAACACATCTTATAAAGTGTCATCCCATTCTAATAATGATATATATATTATACAGTTAAAGTTTATGATGGATTTGAACACTGTGAATGTGCGTTTGGTCAAGGAGGTAAATTTTGTAAACATATTTGTGCCATACAGTTGAATGGATTTAACATCGAAAATGTTGTAAATTTATCAATGAAACATATAATTGAATTAGGTAACCTTGCTATTGGTAAAGATTTGGATCATACGTTTATGGAACCAATGGACCTCGCAAATGATATCGTTTCTACTAATAATTCCAAGGAGAAAAAAACTTCTGAAGAAAACATGTCAACTTTTTTCAATTCTATGTTACCTGCTGATGAAAGTATAACTGAACATGAAACGCAAAATAATATGGAAAATAATGGCTATGAACAACATTTAAATTTAGAAATCAATGTATTACAAAATAACATCGACCGAATAAAAAACATTGCTCAAAGTAACCCTAACAGTTTGATGCTCAAAAATATAAAACAGTTTAACAAACAATCGGAAAAAATAACATCATTATATGATTTGGTTGATTTTAATTTCAATAAGCTTCGTCGTGCAAATCTTATCGGAACACAGCCAACTTCCAGATCCAGGCGCAAACGACTAATAACTTCTGGTGCTAAACGCATCCAAGCAGGACGACCGTCTTCTAAAGAACAAAACTTCAAGCAAAGGAAAAAACAGAAGGTTCGAAGTCTAGGTAAAAATTTACTAAACAATTTGCCACATGCTAAATCTCATTAATAATATTTTTAAATGCCTACAGTTAGGTTAGTAATGGGCTAACTAATGTCCAATTAAGAATATTATATTATATTATTATAAAATAATAAAATGAATCTTTACCAAGTTTTTATTTATTTCATTTATTTTTTTTTAGATTCTGAGTGGAACGAAGAATGTATATTGATTTTACAATGATGTGTGTTTTTTTTCATTTTTTTAATTTTTTTTTGTGTCTGTCATCACTTTTTAGGACAGTAAAAGTGTTTGGATTTTCTTAAATAGTATCTTTTCTGATAGGAAAGTGAATCTAGTTGGTATTTAAAAAATTACCGTAGGTAGCATATTCTATACACCATACAATTTTCCAATTATTTTGACTTATTTTGAGCTATTTACGGACATTTTCATTTTCTACTTTTTTTAGTTTTTTTTCTTTCAATATCAATAAAATTTTATCTGTTGGTTATAAAAGCTTAACAATTTAATAGAAAGCTCCTAGTATATTGTTTTAAAGGTAGAAGAGAAAAATTAAAAATCCCTGGTTACAATTTTTTTTTATAAGCATTTAAAGTTCAAATATTGACAAAATACTTAAAAATGACGAAAATTTGCAAATTATTTTAAGTTAGAAATTCATAAAAAATTTTCTTTTAAATTCTAAGATTTTAAAATGTAATACAAGATTCCTCATAAGTTTTTCCATCTTTGTTAAAAAAAAAAATTCTAGAAGGAAGTCAAATTAAATTTTTATGAGCGTTTGAAATTCATATTTTTACAATGTTTAATATTCGCTCGATTTCTCATGTAACGATTTTCTTATTTTGTTGTAATTAAATAACGAATGACTGTAGATACTTGAAAATTTTACTGAATGTTTATATTAGCATTTTCTATACACCATTCAATTTTCAAAATAATTTGACTCTTTTTGAGCTGTTTACGGACATTGTCAGTTTTCAATATTTTTACTTTTTTTTCTCTATAAATACCAATAAAAATTTATTTGTTGGGCGAAAAACCTTGAAAATTTAATACAAGGCGCCTGATATATTTTTATAATAACAATCGTAAAATGTTAAAAATACATTGGCACAATTTTTTTTATATGCATTTGAAGTTCAAATTTTGACAAAATTTATCAACATATCTAAAATTATCAATCACTGTAATTAAAAAAATTTTAAATGTTCAGTTATTACTTATTATAACTAAGGATTGAACATTTAAAACAAAGATTCTCATAAATAGTTCATACTGTTACCAAAAAATCTAAAAAATACATAAACACAGTTTTTTTTTACAGACATTTTAAATTCAAATTTGGACGAAATGTTTAATATTTATGTTCTTCAGGTATTAAAATTATTGTAAATCCAAAAAATAACATTAGGTAAGCTGAATAGTCTGACACTTTCCTAACTGTAGCTATAAAATATATCTACATTCTACATATTAGATTATACGTTAATTTTTTTTATTAATCCTTATAATTTTTTTTTTTTTTTATTGTCAATAAGATACAGTCGCAAATACATTGTTAATTATAATGTTTTTACATATTTTTAACCTATCAACAAAATTAGAAAAAATACATAAACACAGTTTTTTTTTACAGACATTTTAAATTCAAATTTGGACGAAATGTTTAATATTTATGTTCTTCAGGTATTAAAATTATTGTAAATCCAAAAAATAACATTAAGCTGAATAGTCTGACACTTTCCTAGCTGTAGCTATAAAATATATCTACATTCTACATATTAGATTATACATTAATTTTTTTGTCAATAAGATACAGTCACAAATACATTGTTAATAATAATGTTTTTACATATTTTTAACCTATCAACAAAATTAGAATAAAATTTAAATAATAGATTTATTTAGATAAATTCATAGTAGGTATTTATTTGAGTATAGCGGTATATTACATAGTGGCCAGACTCGAGTAGTGTCCGTAAAATAAATTTGTTTTCCGAACCCTAACTGAATTTGGGATCTATTGGCCAGTCTCGAGTAGCATCCGTAAATACGCGTCCGGGTCAAGGCATGAAAACGCCAAATGACGTAAATCAAATGTATATAAATAATAACATTTCGGGCGCCCGTGCTAGTCCTAATATAGTCGCCGTGATTTGTTGAGTGTCTAGCAAGTCGGGCGGCCACGTTTAATAGTTTTTGTCGTTTATAGTAGGTAGTAGAGCGATTTAGAAGCGAAACTCGATAAGCTGATTGGGATTTTGTTTCCCCATGATTCTCCGAAAAACACGGAAACGTTTCCGTTAATCATATTTATATGACGAAAAAAAAAACGCGAAAAAAAATCGAACTTTTCGTCGCATATTTTCATTTCCGTTTATAGTAATAACGACACTGTCCGCTCTCCGATCTCCTACGTGGCACTCGACTCGAGCGATGTACTGACTTATACATTTGGCGGGGAACGCGAATAAGCCTTCGACGGTGAAACTCGAAAAAATCGTAAAATGTTCGTTATAATATGATAAGGCTGAAGTGAAATCGAAAAGTAATAATAAAGAAAAAAGTGAAAAAAAAAATTCCGGCGGCCGTGCTACCTATCTACCTACCTACTGAGTTCAGAACGCGATATTCGAGAAAAAAAAAGGAACCTTCGACGCATGCATTTCGATGCCTGTATATCAAATAAGTGATAATCTTGGTAGAAGAGCTGTAGCAAAATTATGTCTAGTTAGTTTATGGGGAAAATTTGGACAGCGACAAAAAATGAAAAAAAACTGAGTTTGTTTCAGACCCACAACAATTCTATAAAATATTATTAGATGATAGATTAGAAAATATAAATACAAAATTATTAAATGACAATATGATACAAATGTGTTATAATTATAAAAATTGTTACGTTGAAAATTATCATAATACAAATATTATAATAGCTTTATTTACAACATCTAGTGCAAGATTAAGATTATATAAAATGTTAGAAAAAAAAAAAAATTAAAAAATTAAAAAAAAAAGGTGGGCAAGTGGGTGTCGCTCTGCTATACAGTAGGTTACAAGTGGGTCACTGTATAATGGATGATATTAAATTTGAATTCAACGATATAATATCATTGTATAAGAAAAACGATTCTGAGCGGAGACAGTATGTCAGTCTAGGTATAAGACATATTATATACATATCTATGGTACTAAACCAAAATTTGATCTATAATAGGTACCTATAATAAATTCCAAATTAATCATATCACAATATCCATTAGGTACTTATAACGCGTTATACATCAACAAAAACCATGATACTATCATAGATATATAATAGTACACTTTAGAAGTTTCAAGTACCCACGAATAATATTATTCAATCACAACAAAATAACTAAAATAGTTTTTCTAGGTTTTTTAATATGTAATTTCGTTCAAATTTGAATTTAAAATGTCTGTAAAAAAAACTGTGTTCATATATTTTTTAGATTTTTTGGTTACAGTATGAACTATTTACGAGAACCTTTGTGTTGAATTTGCAATCCTTAGCTAGAAAAACTGAACATTTTATAATTTATTAATTACAATGATTGATAATTTTCGAGATTTTGATAAATTTTGTCAACATTTGATCTTTAAATGCTTATAAAAAAAAATCGTGCCTATGTATTTTTAATATTTTTCAACTGATATTGTAACAATATATCAGGAGCCTTGTATTAAATTTGTACACTTTTTGGCCCAACAGATAAAACTTTATTGATATTTATAGAAAAAAAAACTAAAAAAAATTGAAAACTGAAAATGTCCATAAACAGCTCAAAAAGAGTCAAAATATTTTCAAAGTTGTATGGTGTATAGAAAATGCTAATTTAAACATTCAGTGAAATTTTCATGTATCTACAGTTGTTCGTTTTTGAATTGCAACAAAATAAGGAAATCGCTACATGAGTAATCGAGTGAAAATCCAATGTTGTAAAAATTTGAATTTCAAACGCTCATAAAAATTTAATTTGACTGTCCGGTAGAGATTTTTTTATTGATAAAGGTAGATAATCTTATAAGGAATCTTGTGTTTCATTTTCAAATCTTAGATTTAAAAAGAAAAATTTTTACGAATTCTTAACTCAAAATAATTTGCTAATTTTCGTGATTTTTCATATTTTGTCAATTTTTGAACTTTAAATGCTTATAAAAAAAAATTGTGACTAAGGATTTTTAATATTTTTCATCTGCCTTTGAAACAATATATTAGGAGCCTTCTATTAAATTTTCAAGCTTTCGCAACCAACAAATAAAATTTTATTGATATTTCTAAAAAAAAAACTAAAAAAAAATGAAAAATGAAAATGTCCCTAAACAGTTCAAAATAAATCAAAATATTTTGAAAATGTTATCGTGTATAGAAAATGCAAATATAAACAACCAGTGAAAATTTCATGTATCTACGGTCATTTGTTTTAAAGTTACACCAAAAACCAAATTCGATTTTTTGGAAAATCGATTTTGCGTAAAAATTCCCGTTTTTCCTTAATTTTTATGTTGTTTTTCCCGGCGCTTGTGAAAACTACTGGAAAATGTTTACTTTTGACCCCCCAAAGTACCAACTAGATTCACTTTCCTATCAGAAAAGGTACTATTGAAGAAAATCGAAGCACTTTTACTGTCCCAAAACGTGATGACAGACACAAAAAAAAAATAAAAAAAAAAATTAAAAAAAAAAAAAAAAAAAATAAAAAAACACACATCATTGTAAAATCAATACATTCATCGTTTCACTCAGAATCTAAAATATAAAAATATAAAAACACACATCATTGTAAAACCAATACATTCATCGCTCCGCTCAGAA